ATCTGCGAAAGTACTTGCATTTTTCTCAGGCACTTTTGATCTAACTGCAATTACTCTCTCATACTCGAAATGTGCCACGACCAAATTGGCACAACGACGCCCTATACGCTCTCTGACCGAAGCGCAGGGCTGTTCATACTATCATTGCAACTAAATTAGTTGCAATGATAGTATGAACAGTAATGACAGTATAATATTTATACTAATTGAATAAAATTAATATTTACCTGTTTTTAATGATCGAGATTGCTGAAAAGTAAGAGAATTTGTTAGTTGATTTTTTCCATCAAAGAGAGGAATCCTGGGAAAGCATCATCCTCGTTGTTAGAGAAACCTCTGAAATCCGGGATGTTCAGTCGATCATCGCTACTTGAATCACTGAGAGTATCTTCCGAGTCTTCGTATTCTGATTCCACAATTTCAGTGGACAATCTTGTCGTGGCTGTTTTAAACTCGCTTCAGTTATTAGTCACCTCTTGATGCCAATAATCTGCCGATCGACCGCTTTCTTATACATGGTGCCTTGCGCTGGTCAATTTTCTTCTTCTCCCGGATCCCGTACTAAATGGCATCAGGAAGATCTGTTGATGGTTCTGTTTCTATGAAAATAAAATGATGTTCTATCTCTCTGTCATGGCCAGGCATGGAAAATCATTTGCATTCATTTCGTGCATTCATTTACATTCATTTGCCTCTAACTTTTTTCTTCAACAGCATTCCGCAAATGTTCCGATGATGTATAGAGCTTTTGTAGGTTTTGTTATTAGTTACAACGTTTGTTAACAAGTCTAATCCGTATCTCTTATGCATGACGAAGCAGAGCGAACAGAAGCCACCACTGTTTTTCAGTGAATGTATTTTACATTCACTGAAAAACAGTAACAAGTTCTGCCCGCTCTAGTTCGTGATACATAATAGATACAGATTTGAGTTGTGAGCAAAATATGTAGCTAATAACAAAACCTACAAAAGCTCTATACATCATTTTGCGGAATGCTGTTGATGAAAAAAGTTAGAGGCAAATGAATGTAAATGAATGTATGAAATGAATGTATGAAATGAATGTATGAAATGAATGCAAATGATTTTCCATGCCTGGTCATGGCTACATGTTGATCCAACGTGCAGATAGTTAATATAGTTGCCTTCTTCAGTACCCGTGTGATGTCGCATTCCAAATGTTTTGAACCAAATAAAAAAATTGCAGCCATCAACTCAATCATTTAGAAAAACAATTATTTAATTTTTGCTAGTAGTTAAATTAAGACGCATTTTTTTTATTAAATTTAATGCTTTAAACAAATGTGCGAGAGCCACAAATGAAGAAAAACAAAAGATTTTTCAAATGGAATGAAAAGTTTGTAAATCGGTTCCCTCCATTTAGGGATATTGACAATTTTTTTTTTTTTTCTTTGGTTTGTTTTCCGTCGGTCTTGTTTTCCGTGCTGAGCACCAATGCTACCGACGCCAGGAAGGCAGCTCCCACACCTGGACCCTACCTATCGACCCATCAACTCATGAACCGGGGACCAACGGCTTTACTTCCCTTCCGAAGGAAGGCGTGATCAGAGATGTTATGCCTCAGAACATCCCGGCGGCGATATTGACAATTGAAAAGAGCAATTTTTTTCAAAGAAAATCGCCTTTAACTTTCTAATAAAAAAAGATAGTAACCTGATTGCTTCAGCAAACATATGCGTCATCAAATGTTCTACATGTGTTCACAACAAAAAATTTACGAGAAATGAACGTATGAAAAGATATTCAAAGAAAACCGATTTTTAGGAGCCGCCCTAACCTGCTTGTTTAAAATAATCATAACTTATGAACCATAAGAGATAGAAATGTGATGTCCTTAGCAAAGTTGCTTCAAATTGATTGTTCTATAACTTTTTTAAACATTGCATTGATTTATCTCAAATAATAAAAAAGTTTGTATTTTTAATTCACCAATGTTACGGACCACCCTAATTAAACTACATAAAACGATACACTCTAGAAAATCTTCACGTCCGATTTACGTGAAATATCACGTAGCTGATTTGTATTTAGAAAATCTCAAATGTTACGTGACGTTTAGTAACTTTGACCTGCATAACACGTCATGTCCACTAAAAATGTTGGTGAAATTTACCGTATATTCACGTAAACAGATTTAGTGTACTTGTGTTTGTGTGTTTGGAAATTCGATACTTCCGTGAAACGAGATTTACGTGATTTTCATCAGGTACGCAAAAAAAATCAATATGGCGTCACCGAGCGTGGTGGAAGAACTCCTCAAAGATTGAAAATTCCTCAGCGCTTGCTGCAAATGTTGGACGGTAATTAGATTCTTTTATATTAATTTATTTATGATTATAGAGCTTTTTGACGTTTAATCGGCGCACACTACTGCACCATTTAAATCGAACGAGTGCAAGCAAGAGGGAAACAGATTAGTGGGAAAACAAACCGTCCATTCATTCATGTGTGCTAGATAGAGAAAAACGATTAAACGTCAAAAAAGGTCTATACGTAGCCTTTTTCAAGTATTATAATTTCAGACGGTGACATCAGCATTTTGAGTCTGCAAACAGTTGTTAATATTTTGTCAGAAATAAAAAAAACTCATACACGTTTCTACCTTATAATAATCAATTAGTCAATATTGTTATTGTTATTGTTGTTGCTCAGTTCACACCCTGGCAGGCTGCTGCCTACCGATCTGCACTTAAGCCAGGCATGAACCTACGGAAATTTAGTCGCAGCCTATGCTAGACCGTATAGCATAACGACTTTCCTTTCACTAGCAGGCTTTTTGGTCCCACTAGCGTCCGATTTGGGGATAGTAAGAGATTGAAAGAATAAAGAAGAGAGATAAAAGATTTTGTTGTTTTCCTAAAAAAAAAAAAAAAAAACACCGGCTTGTTGTGTAACATCAGGTTTGTTCACTTTCATCCGTTCCAAGGGGCAACGTCCATCGTCGTCGTACTCAAATACCTGGGAACATCAAGAGGTGCACAGGGCCAACGTGAAAGACTTCCAATCTGGGCAGCTGCTTGACCTGGGCCCAGGTCAAATTCCTATCAAACACTTGCCTGCAGACTTCGTTTCTATTGCTATCGGCTTCTGATGACATTTACATCTAAGATCCATTTGTGAGGCCACCACCCACAAGTTATATACCGCAGGCAGCGGTTGATGAGACCTGCAGCTTTTGAGTGTTCTTCACTGGTGCTGCACAGATTCCACGTTTTAATCGAAGTTTCGAATTTTGGTACGTTGACCAATCTGATTTGATCTCGGCTTTTTTGTAAATGTCATATTATCACCGACCTTATTACCATCACCTTAGTGTGTGACATAGGTGTACGCTCCTCTGTGTTTTCGTTACCAATGCAGTTAATTTGACACGTTTGTTGCATTCCCGTATGTCTCAATATTATTCTTGCTGAACCACCGTCAAACCCACTATCCAGAGGCAGCGAACCACCTTAACACCTGAAATTATACAAAAACAAATTAAACATTAGCACAAAACCACCCCCCCCCCCCTTTCCCCCTTCCTCGATTGCAACAGCTCCAAGAGCCATGCAACAGGATCATTTCGTGCCTCATGACAACTTGATCCAGTTGCTTCCAGGTTCATTGTTTTGGCGCCAGCCGGGAGAGACTTGGTCCTGTACCAAATGCTTTCCTTGTCTCCATTCCGCTCAGCTACTCGCAATTGATTGTGATATTAGTGGGCGGAATATTACAATGTGAGACAATTCAATGCAGACGTCTTCCAAATGTGGCCGATCGTCAGGTAAAATCAGTGGGTTACCACCTGGCACCTCTTAGCAAGCACTATGCTACGAAGCGGACCGGAAGTTTTAATGAACAACCTCCCCCTATAATAATCAATTAGTCAATATGTTACAATTTTATGAGTAGATATAAGTATTAATTTAAACACGTGAAATTTATATCTTCCCGATAAAATTGCATAATATTGACTGCTTCTATATATACTTCCCATTATTCTCATTAAAAATTCACGTACAAATTACATGAAAAGCATTTTAAACAAAACGGAAAGCTACGTAAAAGTTACCAGATGTCCAGTAGTTTTCACCCCGATTTCACGTAAGCAGTACGTGGAAATCAGGTCTTATTTACCTGACTAATCACGTAGACAATTGAATTTTGATAGGCTACGTGCAATTCCGGCAAAAGTTACGTGAAAAATAGGGTGGACGAAAACCACCTATTTTCTCACGTCAATCGGACGTGGAGATTTTTCAGAGTGAAACTTTCCCGAAGACACTATACAGGGGAAATGGCTCTAATGTTGGCCTATGGATCTAAGATTGGGCCCATCGCTAAAAATCTGCTATTTATCAATTGCATCTAGTTGAACGCGCCATTGGGACGGTACTAATGGATATTTTTGGTTGCTATTGAAAATTTAGTCGATAGCTGAATTTATGTATGGGCCCAAATTAGGGACACTTAAGCCGACATTACATACATTTCCCCTACCTAAAAGCGAAGACAACAAATCAAGAAGACTGGCAACTTTTCCAGAATCCAAGCGACAGATACAGTAGCGCTGCGATTGAGTGAAGGTGGAAGCAACGCATAAAAAAAATGAGTAAATACACAAACCCTTCGTCTGAGGATGTAATCTTTGCTATCCAATTCGTTCGAACCATTTACCTTTGAGCGGCAGATGACGCGATTGTGCCTGTCTCATGCCGGTTGTTAGAGAAAATGGAAGAGTTGTTGTTGATTTGTTGTCTTCGCTTAAACTGACAGTTTGGGCTCAAACATTTTTGTCTTCCTAAAAACGACTTTGGGACCATGATGTCAAAAAAAAGTAAGGTTAATTTGACGATGCAGCTTCCTATAATATTTGAAAATATTATAAAACCTACAATCCTCCACTTTAGTAACGTCGACCCCCATGTCCAGCGGGAGGGGGAATTCCCTCCGGTGAATGTTCGAAACAAAAACAAAGCCGACCACTGTTTCGTAGCTAGTTGTCATGATACACGCAGTTGCTTTATTCTCCGTAATCCGATCGTGACGCGTGTAAATCCACTACAAGTTGATATCCGTCTCCCGCACCGTATAAATGGATGAGTAGTTCAATCGTATCCGTCTGCTGTCGTCGAAATTCTTCTCTTTGCTATGATTTTTTTTTTTCATTTTCAATCTCTTAAAAAACTAAACTAAACTTAAAAATTGCTGCAGTTCATTTGCTATGGAAAACGAGAATGTTAAGTTAGACATTGAAACTATTGGCATATTGGTGTTGCTAGTATGAGCCGGAAAAAAAAGCTAAACGAGATTGTCGTTTATTAAAGTAGTAAGTAGCAAGCAAACCGAAAGAACGAACGGTTTTCAGTTTGTTTGGTGGTACGTTAAATGCGCGTATCTAACTAATCAAAAATTGGCTAACCAGTAAATCAATCTATAGTATTTTGTCTTACACATTATGTTCATTATTGCTAGGTATAAAAAAATAAAAATCTGCTTTCTGGTGGCTATTGCTATCGAGCTGATATTTTTTATCTGATTCTCTGCTTATGCCTCTTTGTTTTGTGTGTATAAAAATGAACGCAAGAAAACAAAAAATCTCCAAAAACAACACTCTTTTCCATTTAGTAATCATCCGTGGTTAAGTAAATCTGCTAGCTCACTCATTGACGAGATCGCCGTAGTACGCGGTCAGTGCAATCAACTTCCGATCGAGGAAGTTCTGCTCGATCTCCACCCCATTGTTCGGTCCGGCCAGCATCGTCAGCTGTTGGGTGTTGGAATTGCGAGGCAAGTACATTGCAACGTTGTGACTTACCATGCGAGCCTTGCGCATCAGTTCCGTCGCCGGAACCGGAATCAACGACCCCTCCAGATCGTACACCTCATCCTTCAGATAGCTGGGGCCACCCCACGGAGGAGACAGGAATATCGTGTCCGCTCGAAGCTTATCCGCCAGCTGGAGGAAATTTCCCGTGATAAATTCGATCCGATCGGCCACTCCGTACACCGCGGCGTTGTGTTTGGCCATTTCGATCTTCTTGGGATCGATATCGATCGCAATGACCTTGCTGCAGGTGAAGGCGAACTGGATCGAGTTGCCACCGCAGCCGCAGAAGGCATCCACAATCAAATCGGACCGGCAGCGTACGGCCGTGTGCGAGGCTACCTTTTCCGGTGTCACGGAGAACCAGCTTTCCCGGTCCAACTTGATGCCGGCGTCGAAGAGCGAGAACAACGAGAAGCGCTTGTACCAGTACTTCAGCAGGGACTTGTCGTTGGCTATCTCCGGCGGCAGACTGGCTACGAACTTCGGCTTGCGCTTCTTCTTTTTCTCCTTCTTTACGGGGAGCTGAAAGAAAGCATGATGATTGAAGATATGCTGCGTTAGAGATGGGCCAATTACCTGCACCTGATCCAGGGCTTCCTCCGACGGTGGATTCTCGTCCTGTTTGTGTTCCTCTTCGGTTCCCTCTTCCTGCGATTCCGATTCCTTGTTTTGCAGCTGACTGTACTCCAGAATGGTGCTGGATCGCACGCTCGACGAGACGCTTCTCGGCGGAACCGCTCCGCCCGGATCGTCGTCATCGGAGGAAGTGTGCATCAGCGCTTCCGGTGCGGCATCTTCTTTCTCCGATCCTACCGGTGGTGCAATCTCGTTCCCATCGTCATCGAAGTACGTGTGCTTAGGCTTGTGGTGCTTCATCTTCAGCACCCGATTGTGCAGTCTTATGTGCTTCTTCCGGTAGACCACCTCTCCGGTAATGTTGATGATGGAATCGGCCGACTCGCTTCGATTGGCCGGATCGGAAAAAGCATAACCCATCAGTTCGAAAGCCGCCTTTAGCCGGTCGTTTGGTGTTTCCTCGGTGTCACTTTCGTGACTTCGTTTCAAATTGATCGGACGGTCTTCCGGAGGGTCATCGTCATCATCGCCTCGATTGGTGGTCTTTTTGGACTTACCGAAAGACGTCGGTAGGCCGTACGCTTCCAGAGCGCTGGAAAGATCCTCTAGGACGTGGTCTGGTTTACATTCTTGGTTGGTGTTGTCGGAGCTTTTCTGCTGATCGGATTGACCATCCGATGGGGCGTGCGATTGCTCTTTGTTTTTGGGAGATGCTAGATCTAGCTTTAATTGTGCGACCATTTCGGGAAGCTGTTCGTTGGCTGAAGATCTATTAAGATAAGACAACACAGTGTGATTACAAATTCACCTAACAGTACATCACAAAACCGACTTACTTGTTGTGCAACATTCCGGATCCGCTGCTGCTATTCCTCTTCCGTTTGTGTAACTTGGTCCGCAAATCGCAACCTTCCTGCTCACCACTTTTTTCCGCCATGTACATGTTGTAATGTGTGGCGTACATTTCCTGGAAGTGCTTCTGCCACAGGATCTGCCAATACTGCTCGCCATCCATGGCGGACTCATCCTCGTGTATAATCGATTCTCCTCCAATCGCCAATACCATGCCACGGCTTCCCACCAGGCATTCCGTCTCCAGCATGTCGGAACTATTCGAACTCTCTGTCTCGGACGAAATCTGTTCACTCATACTGGACTCGCTCAGATTCGATGATTCCGAACTAACTTTCGAACTGCAGAAGTCATAGCTCGAGATTGTCATGCGTGTCACATTGGTCATCGAATCCGTGGTGCCAATGGTCAATGGAATGCTGGAAGTAACCGAGTCGCATCGTGGACTCAACAGGGCTTCATTCTCGGTCGAACCAGATCGATGTGTGGTCCAAATGTCATTCCAATCATCTGCACGGGTGCACGGATGGGGCGAACTGGTGGTGACAATAATTTCTGTTGGTGCTTTCGGTTCCGAATCCGCCTCCATTGTGTCGAAGGAAAAGTGCTTGGAAGCATCGTAAGTCGTGTCCGGAGTGGCTTCACTCTTGGAATGTGGTGAATTGCAATTCGTTTCGTGCTGTTCGTGCTGGTGAGCCTGATCCAGGTACTCCGCATTGATGTAATCGCTGTACTTTTCAATCCACGAAGCCCAAATCAAAGACTCCCCGTGCTTGTTCCAGTACGATTCCCAAGCCTCCTGCAAATCCTCCCTTCCGAAAACCTCCGGAAGACTATTGTTCCGTTCTACATGCATCATCGAAGTTACCTTTCCGTCATCTACCAGTGCTTCCTTGACACCTTCGAAAAAACACTCCTTCCTCTCGAAGTTCTTTTCCGAAATATCCGCCCCGCTATCGCTCGAATGCAATCCATGGTGAGCCATCACAGTACCTTGGAAAATATGCTCATGCTCGTCGGTGCTACAATAATTGGTATCGGAATGTGAAGCACTTGCACTGAAGTAACAACTTGCATCACTAGCACCGCAATCCCGGTCCCACTTGACCACACTTCTCCCAAAGCTAAGTTGCTTCCTCAATGGTTCCTCGCTAAATACATCGTCCTCGACTTCCTCCACGGCTTCAAAGGTGTTTACCTTCGCTACTTCCCGTTCGCCAACTGTTTTCTCCCTTGGCTGCTCATGATCCACTAGGGGCACTTCCGACATAGCTGGAAAATTACAAAAACAAAAACCATCACCAAACAATAAATCTAGGTCACTCCCAAAAATAGCTTCCCCAATGAAATCAAAAAATCACATCCATCCTCCATATCAATGCACAAAAATCGCTGAGCCAAGTTCTTTTTTCTACACAGACATAACACAGAGACATGCAAAACAAGATGCAGAAAAACTGGAAACTCTACTTACTGGGCTCGCCCCGTTCCAGGGTCGACACGTAAACATCGTAGTAATTCCTAATGAAGACACGGCTGCACAGGCAGTAAATGCCCTTTTTCTTCTCCTTGCCAGCAGCTACGACAGCACTACCTAAACCAGCTTCTCCATTCGTCCCCCCCGTCGGATAGGATAGATAAATCTCCGCCAATGGTTCCCAGTGAGCTTCATTAGAATTCATTTTTTCACTGCACTTTTTCCTGATTTAAATCCTCCCCGCCTGGACTCGTCCAGGGGTTGAGGTGCTGCTCGAAGGTTGCACAATGCAACACCGCGAGCTGAAAACAATCGAAAACAGCAAGGAATGATTAGTTTAAAACCCGCAAACTATGGCGATGGGAAAATTTGAGCTGTAACATTGATTTTTCACCAATAATTTACCTAACATGGGAGGAGACACCAAAATAGAGTCGACATTTTCACTAACCAGAACGCGAGATGGACGGACGGGACGAGAGACGATGTCGCGATGCAATATGATGGCTGCTACACTGAACCAAATCGACCTCCATTTATAGAATGAAACATCATTCAGTTGCATCCAATTTCAATGTTTCTGAAAACCGTATGACAAAATCAGTCGGATGATTTTCGTTTCGGCACAAATCTATCGGTGGGAGTATTTAATTTAAACCATCAACATAGTCATTTTGCCAATGGATTTTTTTATCTGTGTAGCTATAGGGCTTGAGTGAGCCAATAATCATTCGATGCCAGGATGATGTTTTGGTTCAGTGTAAAGAGCACTTTAATGGCTGCTTTTGACAGTTGTTTACAAAAAAGAAAGGGGGTTCGGTATTTACACCATTTACACCGATCCGGCCAGCGTTGCCAGATATACCGATTAACGCGAGGATTAACGCTATTTATAACGATTTCCTATTGATGAATCTACGTTACGGTCGGCCAGTAGATGGAAATGATGTGAAAATGATAATGACGTTTTGCTAGCTGTCAAATCGTATGGAATATTTTTTAGTACATTATCACTTTTGTGGTTTTGGATTTCAAACCTAGGTGTCGCATGCACTGGTGCAGTTTTGCGTAGATTTATCAATATAAGGCTGCACGAAACGAAAATTAATTATTTTATTCATGTGTTTCACTTATACATTTTTGTCAAAACATCAGCCTTATACAGTCCATAATACTAACCACATAGGTACTAAAATTTATTTATTTATTTTATTTCGTCAACCAACGTAGACTATAAAGTCTAAATTTTGATGCAAGAAATCCGTGACCATGATGCAAGAAATCCACGGAATACCAGATCACCATCGGTCGATGGTTGTTCCCTCAATTTTTGCAATCAAGTACCACCATGTAAGTAACGATAAAAGATTTTTCACAGATGGGTCAACCATAAATGCTTCCACTGGATTTGGTGTATTTAATCAATTTCATAGCGCCTCTTATAAACTGCAGAAACCATGCTCAGTATACGTTGCGGAACTCGCAGCTATATTTTACGCAGTAGAGCGAATTGCCTCACTACCTTCTGACCATTATTTCATTTTTACGGGTAGTCTTAGCTCATTGGAGGCTATTCGTTCAATGATGCCGATGAAGCACTCCTCGTATTTCCTGCCTGAAAAACGATCTAAACTGAGTGCTTTATCTAACTGCTCCTATACTATCATCTTAGCTTGGGTCCCATCTCATTGCTCAATTCCGGGTAATGAGAAAGCGGACTCGTTGGCTAAGGTGGGCGCTATGGAAGGCGATATTTTTGAGCGACAAATTGCCTTCAACGAATTTTTCACCATTGGTCGTCAGCAAGTCCTCATCAGTTGGCAACACAAATGGAATGATGGTGAATTGGGAAGATGGTTACATTCTATTCTCCCACAGGTGTCGAACAAACCATGGTTCAAAGGGTTGGACATGAGCCACGGTTTATGTCCAATCACTGCTCGTTAGACTCGCACTTCTATCGAATTGGGCTATCAGACAGCAATTTATGTGCGTGTGGCAGTGGTTATCACGATATCGAGCATGTTGTTTGGTCATGTACCCTACACCGTGTTGCCAGATCTGAGTTATCCACATCCCTCAGGGCCCGAGGAAAACAACCCGCGATACCCGTTAGAGATGTCTTGGCGAGCCGAGATCTCGACTATTTGAATTTAATTTATGTGTTTTTAAAACGGATAGATCTGTGGATTTAGTAGTTAGTGTCATCTTGTGTTCTCCCAAGTTGTTAGCTGCCCATCGGTGTACCCCCATGTTTGTCTTTTTCATCAGAGTGTCGCTTAGTTCGAGATCAAGAGCACATTGCTCTCCAAACCTTGTGTTCACAATCCCTACCCTGCCATCAATTTGTTACAATTTGGCACCCCTAACCTCGAGATAGCCGCGAGTAATCGGCCCCCACTTTACTAACGTTAGTTTTAAGTAATTTTGTAATCAAATCAATGAATATTGGCTCCGCAAAGCTATAGCAAATGAGCCTGGAAAAATAAACGCATTATAAAAAAAATGCCTTATGGAGTAAAAATATTGTTTTAGTTTATGCCGAGACATTGTAAAGTCAATGGTATCGCAGTATTGATTGTAAGAGGCCATCATGCGGTTTAATGGCCCATATTTTGCATAATTTGTGCGGTGATGTTTTATGGCAAATAAATCGCTTTCGGAGTTGCATGGAGTAGGTGCATGGAAATTTAATTTTGGTAAAAGTTCTGGGTAGTCAATGCGCTGCGAAACGATATCGTTTACAAATGAAACCATTGCATATTCACGACGCTCTTTTAATGTTTGTATGTTTATAAGCATGCAGCGTGGTTTATATGATGGAAGAGGAAATGATGTCCAACCTAATTTACGAAGAGCGTATAATAGAAATGGTTTTTGTACGGATTCTAATATTTCTTCGTGCGTGATTGAAAAAGGAGACCATACAATGCTGCAATATTCCAGTATTGACCTCACATAGGCAATATACAGTGTTTTAATTGTGTAAAGTGCTTGATAAAGCCTAGCATGTTATTTACCCTGTGAATAATTGTGTTTTAATGGTCTATGAAAGTTAGTTTAGAGTCTAAGATAATTCCTTAATCCCTAACTCTTTCACATTTTTCTACATTTTGATTTCCTATAGTTCAATTGAAATATTTGAAATTGTTCTTTTCCTGCTAAATGATATTAAGTTGAATTTTTTACATTTAATTCTAGTAGACTTTTTGGCACCATATGTAGAATATGTGTATTTCATTCCGGAATATATTGATGTCTTCTTCCCCTAATAAAAATAACCATAAAAGAGAACTTAACGACGTGTTCGGGGTATCATCCAGACCATTTGTGGAATAGTTTACCCATTCGGGATACAGTTCGTTTATGGTATTTGTTTATTAGGGTCATTTCTTATTTTTAAAAAGAGCTTCATGTCGTCGGCATAAATAAGCAATTTAAGTTTTTTGAGAATGAAAGAAATGTCGTTTACGTATAGAATGAAAAGAAGAGGTCCCAAATGAGAGCCTTGGGGGACGCCTGAAGTGACTTGAATTGGGCTCGATTTCTTTCCGTTGAATTTAATTATTTGTTGGCGGTTAGTTAAATATGATTCAAGTCATTTTAGGAGCCCTGACTCAATTCCAGTTTTTTGCAATTTAAAAAGTAGCATTGGTATGTCTATGCGGTCAAATGCCTTGCTAAAGTCTGTATAGAGAGCTTCTACGTGGTTTCCATTATCCATTGCATTCAATGAATAGTCTATAAACTCAAGTAAATTTGTCGAGGTCGAGCGACCCTTGAAAAAGCCGTGTTGCATGTCAGTAATTCTATTTTTGATTTGGAGAAATAATTTTTCGTTGACAATTGCCTCGAAAAGTTTAGGAATGCAAGAGATAATGGCTCAAGATGCTCACACTAGTGAAAAATCTTCTCTCAGTCCTAGCATCTACTTGCATGGCACATCATATTTTTTGCAGGAAATCTTCAGAAACATCATCAATCCATAAAGGTAACTCTAAGACTAGTAGGTCCCGAAGAAACGTGTTCAACTTTTTGGCTCAACTCTGGTACTATCTTCGGTCCCAAGGAAATTCCACTAACCCCTCATTTTATCTGTCAAACTTTCATAGCGAATCAAAACAAACATTGTGTAGTACTAGAATTTCGACTAGAATGGGGTACGTTAATCGTTTGCTTGGGACCAATAGGCTAGTCAAGTAGTGATCCAATTTAAAATCGTTAGTTTCGTATTGATTGTTGATCAATCTTCTTTCTATCTATTCAGCGTGCGCACAGCTATCCACAGCAAAACACAATTATTCCTGCATCGTAGATAGAGTCTCGGGTAGATCTACTCGAGACTCTATCTACGATGCAGGAATAATTGTGTTTTGCTGTGGATAGCTCGAGTCACCCCCTCTCGGGTAAAATTCGGTATCCCAAATAAAAATCACCAAAGTTTTAAAAGCTCGCAACCACCGAGTTTCGATTGTAATAGTAGAGATTGCTGACGTTTATCGTATCGGGAAAAAAACTTCATAGCGGAAAATTTTCCAAATCACTGTCACAACCTTATTTTAGAAATCTCTATAGAGATTGCTGACGTCTATCGTACGCACACTACGTCACGTATACGTATACGCAAAATGTTTTCATCGGGAAAAAAAACTTCATAGCGGAAAATTTTCCCGATGAAAACAAATCACTGACACAATCATACTTTAGCAATCTCTATAACAATTAATAAGTTTTATTTGTGACAGAAAGAAACTTCTCGATGACGCAAACTGAATACCTTCCTTGATCTAATTTTACACCGCACTTTTCTGTACATAGAGATGTGAATCGTTTATCATGCGTCAAAAAGTATCATCGAAATCTCGAGACCATCAGCAGATCGTGCAGTTGAACAATATCGTATAAACAAAAAACAAAAATAAGGTTGAAAATCCAGTAAAACCACCCGCGTTTCGTATATAAATTAGTATTTTATGTTTTACATACGCTGTTTAGTAGATATTTCGTCGAAAACATTAGGAAAAGTTAGGTTAAACACAGAAAATAAATCTTGAACGTTCACAATTCAGCACAAAGGAACGAACGACAGGTATTAATTATATGAAAATGACTTGCAGTTTTTATTCTGCTTCAATACGGGTTTCCCTTTACCATTCTAGGAAAAAAAACTCCATTCCAGTAAGCCTCAGTACAGTTTCCAGCATAATCGTTCCAGTAATGCCACAGGACATCAAACGGGAACGAAAAAGTACACAGGTAAGCATCGTTGAAATACACTTCCACGACTTGCACCATTACTGCTACCGCAAACGCACTATGTACTCGGTGCCCTTGAAGAAGAAGTGCCAGTCAATTCGAGTTCACTCTCACGGTCGCACACGGTTACACAGCTTAACACCGAATTCACAGCATAAAGCACCAAAGTAGAATAAAGTTTCCCCCTCTCTATCCTTGTAGTCAACGATGCATTCGAAAAGAAGTCACTGGAATGAAGTAATTATCACAAGCCACGCTGGAATAAATCTCAGAACCTTTATAATTAAAACTATTTTCCCGATTGATTTACCTCGTTGCAGGCTCCCCTCTCGCCGTGCCCCATTCCGGACATCAGTGACGATGAGCTGGTGTCGATCTCCGTCCGGGACCTGAACCGCACGCTCAAACTGCGTGGATTAACTCGGGATGAGATCGTCCGTATGAAGCAGCGCAGAAGGACGCTGAAGAACCGCGGCTATGCTGCCAGCTGCCGTATCAAGCGGATCGAACAGAAGGACGAACTTGAGACGGAAAAATCGCAGGAATGGCGCGATATGGAGAAGATGCACGAACACACCAACAGGATGCGGGACGAGGTCGATGCTCTGCGCAACAAGTACGAGGCGTTGCGGAAGTTTGCCATTGACGAGAAGATTCCACTGCCGCCGGAGTTGGATATTTTAGGATAGATAGAATGTGGATTCCATTAGTAGGTAGCTGTCGAGTGGCGGGTGGTTTCGTAGTTTTACGTTACATTTAAGTTCATGTTGTTATATTTACCTGATCATCTAGATTAATTTTTTTAACTTATATATTTTCAATATTTAAGTTTAGTTTTATATTTAGTTTGAAGTTCAAACTGTGCAAATATACGTGCAAACCTACTAGGTAAACTTGATAACTGAATCTATTTTTTGCTATGTTTAAGCTGCGTGTAGCAATGGGAGAGTTAAGAGAAATACTTCAAGCCGAACAATGGATTAGGTTCTAAGTAGCATTGACAGATTCTCTTAGTCGATGTTCACGGCCATGACCAGTTCGATAAAATATGCTATTATCTAGCATCTAACACGGCAAACACGGCAAGAAACGGGCTTTGATGTCTTAATCCTTTCTACCCAAGGTGTTTTAGTGTAATCAATTAGAAAAATCAGTTACCCTTATTTTCGTTTTCGTTCGAACCGTATCTCTGGAGTGTCTTTAGATATTGGCCTGGGTTTTCTTCCGATAATAGAAGAACTAGTACCAGACTGTTATATTATTTTTACAAAAATCGGTTGTAATTTCAGGAAGTTATAGCTCACAATGTCAAATGCAGGAATGCAACGAGTTTTGCCTGAAATTAATTATTTTATTGGTCTCAACATTCGAAATTCTCATGAACATAAATCACATTTCCTAGAACAAGATCATGATTTTCAGAACAGAGTTCTCGATTCTTTTACTTTTGTTGCCTTTGCTGGTGCCCTATACACTTACGCGGTCGTTTCGTTTATTTTGTGGAACAATGTTCATGATTTCATGATTTTTATTCCATGGCTTTCGTAAACGAAAAATTGACTTGAGGTTCACGAATTTCGGAATTTTTTTTCCCGTGTAGGTAGTCCAATTACCTTGCTGAACATTGATAGCAGCAGTAACGGCGCCGGTGATGTAGTGGTAAGCGTGATTACCTCTCACCCCAACAGGCCTGGGTTCAATCCCAGTCGGCGCCGCCGGGATGTTCTGAGGCATAACATCTCTGATCACACCTTCCTTCGGATGGGAAGTAAAGCCGTTGGTCCCCGGTTCATGAGTTGATGGGTCGATAGGTAGGGTCCAGGTGTGGGAGCTGCCTTCCTGGCACGTCGGTAGCATTGGTGCTCAGAACGGAAAACAAGATCGACGGAAAAAACAAACCAAAGGAAAAAAAAAATTGATAGCAGCAGGTATAGATGAAGAATTTGAAGCCTGTGAGCTGACGTGATGCGTTTCCTACCTGTCGCCTAGAACGAGATTGTACGATCGCTTTGCATGTCTTAGATTCCCAAAAATTGGATTTGTGGTTTTCACCACAATTTGAACATTTCAATTTCTTAGGATCTTCCTTCACAGGACAGTCGTCCTTTGCGTGAGAGGAATCACCACAATCATGCATTTAGCTGGCATGTACCAATGTTTGTTCCTGGCACTTACGGCACTGGGTTTGGAGGTTTTGGAAATTTCCTCCAGGCTTCCTGAAGTGTTCTTACTTCACTCGGACAAGAAGCACAACGTTAGCTATTTCCAAGGCCTTAAGGTTATTTAGCTCACTAGACTTGAAGTGAACTAAATGAAAATCATTAGAAATCTCGTTGCGTGAATCGCCAGGACGGTATTTAATTTTCATTTTGATTACTTGGACTGGCTGAACTCCCAAGACATCTTGTAAATTCATTTTGATCTGATCTAGGGATTCACCATTGAGCAGACCTTTCAAGACAACATTGCAAAGACGTTCCGTTTTGATGTCTTAAGTTAAAAAATTGTGTTGCTTCTCAGTAAGATACTTGAGAAGACGTTTGAATCCGTCCAAAGATTTAGCCAATACACAACATTCACCCCGAAGGCTAATTTTAAGTGAAAACTTGATTATAACGAAGTTCAAAAGTACCGTGCGAAGAGCATGGAAATCAGAAGTGGTTACCACAATAGGGACAGGGAGGACCTTTTCCTTCTTGGTATTAATCCGGAAAGTTTATTAGATTTCTTCCTGGATGATGGATCATTATCATGGCGGCAGAACAATAACTAATTTTATCTGTTAGGTTCAATTTACTTTGATGTTTTTTCGAAAAATTCAAGAGCAGTTTTTTTCGACGCATTAGTTCAGATTGCAAAATGTTCGCACTATTCGATTCCTTTTGCTATTCGACACACAATGACGCGAGCTTTTAGCAATCTGAAATAATGCGTCGAAAAAAACTGCTTTTGAATTTTTCGAAAATGCATCAAAGTAAATTGAACCTTAAACTTGCATATCGAATCAAAACAAGCATAGTGTAGTACTGGAATATTGACTGGAATAGGGTACGTTAATCGATTTGCTTGGGACCAATAGGCTAGTCAATAGACTGATGCAAAATTTGAAATTTTTGCTCCACAGTACTCAAACGGTTCCAAATCGGGCCCTGATTAGCCTCCCAAAATTTGAACCCATTTAGTGAAAAACTGGCTTGGCACAAACCATTTGAAGTTTATATTGGAATTACTATGGAGAAACCATAATTTCGGTTCATAACTACCTCAAAATTCACCAGTTTACTATACTTTAAAAAATGATAGCTGAGCTTGTTGAAAATTTTCTCAGCTACAACTTTGTTAAAGACCACTTTTCAATCAAATGTAAGGAACAAAACTTATAAATGATTCAAGTCACTGATGTCTTATGATTATGCTCAATCAACTGTTCAGCAGGCAACATTGGTGTTCATGGCGCGTAGAATAGAGGACAAAAATCATGACTACTGTGTCACACTGCAGAATACAGTGCTGCCCACAATACAGTTGCTTAATCTTGCCGTAAGATTATCAATCTCTTAAACAATTAATAACTATTTAATTTGACGTTTGGCTGAAAAACGATTTTCTGCAAAGTTGTAGCTGATAAAAATTCCCATTAGAATAGTAAAAGAATTTGTTAACAGTACAATTGACCAATGCACGGAATGAACCGCATGGATAAATTTGAAGTTTGAGCGGTGCCGTGTTTACTAAAAATGAACACATGAATAATACTCGCGTAACATTTAAAATTGGTCTATCAACTTATGTACACAAAACTTGTTAGACATTTTTCGCGCGAACCGAAGTACGCCCATGCAAACCAACAACACCATCGGGTAGGGTGAATTCTCCCTTTTCCGATCGTGGTTTGGTTTGCGTGGGTGTTCTTCGGCTCGTGAGAAAAGGGCCTTACAAGTTGTTTTTAAAAGTTGATAGGACATGTTCTAAAGCTACGCGAGCATTACATCATGTGTTCATTTTTAGTAAACACGGCACCGCTCAAAAATCAAATTTTTTCGTAAGTTCATTCCTTGCATTGGTCAATATGTAAAAGGGCTAGACCATATAAACTTCAAATGGTTTGTGCCAAGTCAGTTTCTTATCAAATGAGTTTAAACTTTCGGAGGCTAACCAGGACCCGATTTGGAACCGTTTGAATACTGTGGAGCGAAAATTTCAAATTTTGCATCAGTCTACTAGTCAAGTAGTGAGCCAATTTAACATCGTTAGTTTCCACCGTAAGACTGCGGTAAGACCTCGGGTAAGACTTCCTCCAGCAAAAAGTAAATAGACCGCACAAGAGGCTTGACTGGCGGCCATGTTTTTGATGCTATCATCTGCTTTTGTGTTTCTGCTTGTAACACGATTTTCCGTCGCTTTCCACCATGTACACGTCTGGCACGTCAGGCGGCCCGTTTTTAAATAAGGCCCGGGATGTTGCCGTATATGATTGATATGGGGTTGCCAGCCTCCTTGACCGCACGGCAAGAAATCACAATGCGGAATGAGAATAATCAGGGTGGCCAGATAATTTTTGTCATTATCGGTAGCTTCTCAAAACTTTTATCGGTAGTTATTGGTAGGCCGTCTTAAGAAGCCTTTCCCGATACTTGAAACATTTGTGAGCAGGGGGGACTCTGCTCCAGAACAATACACTGTCTTTCAGTTTCTTCTGCTTTAAACGTGTCGAAATCAATATTTCTAATTCTAATGCTAATTCTGACCACAAGGAAAACAAAACATTGGTATTGCACATTTTTCAAGATTACAAAAAATCTGTGATTCTCGGTAGGAAAATTAAAAAATCGGTAGTTTTTAACCTTTCGTCTGTGAATCGGTAGGCATCCCGAAAATCGGTAGGAATACCGATAAATCGGTAGGTCTGACCACCCTGAGCATAATCATTTCCTTTCCATGGTAGCACAGGTCCGTCTTAAGTATGTGAATACAGCATAATTCATTTCTCGAGTTTTTCAAAAGTTCGTAAGCAACAAATACAACAAAATCGAGTTAATTTATGAAACCTATCGCTCTTCTATCATTGTATGTGCTACAAAAACACCCATTTAAAATTTATAATCATAAATATCAAATTGTCAAATGTACGTTTATGAATTATGGGCGCTTGATTTTACTTCGGTCATTTTGTCTGCCTAGCAAGATTGGTACTCATTTTCTAAAGCCGGGCCATGCAAAAGCAAGCTAACGTTATAAGTAGGGGTACCAGTCATTTTCCCGGTGTTAGGTACTCTATTCTGAAGTCTGTGAAAGGGAATCTAGAAGATGCAGAACAAAACGACCAATGTAACACTCATTGAGGAAAATCATCCAATGTAACATGTCTGAAGTACAACTTGACTAGTCAAAGTGATTTTTTCCCAAATCCAAAAAAAAAGTGATTGGAAATAAATCAAACGTAATCGTTATTAGATTTCACACATAAGATTTCAATTGTCCAGTTATAGATTTTATTGTAGGAACATATCCTTTACATTCACACATACCCTCAATGTACACTGCTTATTATGTCAAAAATGTGCTCCATATTTTGCAATGGAATGTTGAATGAGACTTATTTGTTAAAAGTGCTAGTCAAAACGGATTCTGTGATACTACCCCGAATGTCACTACCCCGAACGCCATAACCCCGAACGCCGTTACCCCGAACGCCATAACCCCGAACGCCGTTACCCCGAACGGTACACTACCCCGAACGCCGTTACCCCGAATAGTACACTACCCCGAATGGCCATTACCCCGAATGGCGACTACCCCGAAATTAAGAC